AAAAAAAGAATATTATTTCAATAGGTAATAAACAGCTGGCATGGTGGCCCTTGCCTGTAATCTCAGCAACTTGAGAGGCTGAGGCAGGAGGATCACAAGTTTGAGGTCAGCCTCAGCAACTCAGCAAGACCCTGCCTCAAAATAAAAAGGATTGGGGATGTAGCTCAGTGGCAGAGCACCCTCTGCGTTCAATCCTCAGGGCAGGGGAAAAAAAATACAGCTACTGTTTATTTTATTTTTATAACATTTAAGGTGAGAGTAGAATTCAGAAGGGTTGAGTAAATGCTTATTCATGTGAGTCTTCTCTCCCCTTCCCCAATAAACCACAAGTCTCAAAACAAAAAAATCCAATAAATGATGAAGGATCAAACATGTTGAAAATGTCTTCAAAAAGACAAAATGGCCTGCTGATGGCACAGAAGCTAAGAGAGAGGAGAATGATTTTCTGAGAGCGTGGATTTTTCTGTTGTTTCTGTCTGCAGTGCTAGGGATCAAAATCAGAGCTTTGTGCACGCTAGGCAAGTGCTCTACCACCGAGACACACTCCAGCCCTCTAAAGTGTTTTCTGATGCCCCCTACAAAATGGGAGTTAAAAGAAAGTAGCCTTTCTCTGTTTTTCGCATGTAGCTCATCCCCCTATACCAGAAGGCCTGAAGTCCTTGTAAGGGCTGACTTTCCTCTCCAAAGGGAACTGCTGATGTCCTGCAGGACAGGCGTGGGGCTTCACGCTGAGGATAAAGCACCTCTTACCCACAGTCAGTGTTCACAGAGAATTATCTTTCCAACAAGTACAGCACAATAGATCCAGCAGGAAATGCAGAGCTGTCATCTTTGATTTGGGGGACCAGTGGAAAAGATGACGGCTCTGGGTCTGGTCTAAATGTAATAGGCTCACTGCTGCAGAGTTCAAGAGACAGGTAATGAAGTATATAAAGAGAAACATCCAATTCATATAATACTGACACCCTGTTCATCTTTTTTTTTTTTAAACAGAAAACTTTAAAGAGAATTACACTTGTCCTATCTGTGAGCACCACTGTGATTTTCTTCTATTTATGGCATCTCACAGGAACCTTATAATTTATCAACTACATTTTAAAAACAGAAACACATAAAAGAGCAACAATAACACTACATTTTCTTCTAAAAGTCTCAAAGCCTATAGCCATTAATGATGCCTTGTATTTATTTAGTACTTAAAATGTTTCAAAGCACTTTAAAATGTATTATTGGATTTGACACAAATGAAGAAAATAGGAAAGGTACAATATATGGATTCTCTCAGGAAGACTTATCTTGGAAGATCACTGAGTTTTCAATTAATTTTTTTTTCTTAAGCTGTAGATAGACACAATACCTTTATTCTATTTATTTATACTGGTGCTGAGGAGCGAACCCAGTGCCTCACACGTGCTAGGCAAACACTCCACCGCTGAACTATAACTCCAGCCCTGGTTTTCAATGTTTTTATCTTAAATATTTTTTTTAGTAGTCAATGGACCTTTATTTTATTTACTGACACACGGTGCTGAGAATCAAACCCAGTGCCTCACACATGTAGGCAAGTGCTTTGCCACTGAGCCACAATTCGAGCCCCGAGTTTTCAATTTTTGAAACTAAGTTTATCCTTTCCTTAGCTTCACCAAATTGTTCTTTTCCTAGTAAAATGTCTCCCTGCCACTCTCTGTCCAGCATTCAATGTCTCAACTTTCTGTGTAACTTTGGCCATGTTTCCTTATCTGTAAAATGGAGACAATAACGTCTAGGGTGAGAACAAATCCTACATGTTGCCACAAATGTAAAGCTCTAGTGCTCACTAAGTGGTAGCACTTCAACTGCCTAAACTACAAAGCTGAGGAACCTCTGACTAACATACCACATAAGTCGTGGTCTTATGGCATAAACCCAGGCAATATACTAATCATTCCATGCACTTTTCGGAGTTCAGATTGAAAAGGCAGCTAGAACAGTGACCTGCAAGTTATTTTCTTTGGTTGGTCCAATTTAAGAAATACTTGGAAACCACAAAATTGCAGGAGACAGTTATTTGGTGAGGTCATAATTCTGGTCCATGAACTGGGATCATTATGATGCCAAAATACAGTCTGAATTCTTGGCAGGCTCCCATTGAAAGATAAGAACACTTACAGCAAAGTAAGCCCTGGCTCAAACATGGCTGTATCTAGGAATACAGAAAGAAGAAAGATATAGAAAAAATTAAATGTAAGATTGGGGATGTAGCTTAATGGTAGACCAACTGCACAGCATGCTTGAGAACCTGGATATGATCCTAAGCACCATGAAAAAAATTTGAAAGTGAACCCAGGGCCTTGCCCATGCTAGGCAAGCACTCTGTGAGTTATATCCCCAGCCCATTTAAAAAATTATTTTTTTGAGGTAGGGTCTCCCTTAGTGGCCTAGGTTGGCTTCACATTTGCACTTTTCCTGCCTTAACCTTCCCAAGTGGCTGCGATTATGATGTGAGTCACCATACCTGGCTTGAAGACTCATTATTTCTCATTTTATTGTTGTGAAGACACCCCCCCACCCCTGCCACAGCAAATTGTTTGGGTATAAAAGTCAACGACAGGGCTGGGGATGTGGCTCAAGCGGTAGCGCGCTTGCCTGGCATGCATGCAACCCGGGTTCGATCCTCAGCACCACATACCAACAAAGATGCTGTGTCTGCCGAGAACTAAAAAGTAAATATATATATAAAAAAAGTCAATGACAAAAAGTAACACCCTGGTTAACAGGAAATATCTCAAGTCATCAATGGCCTCTATTGCTCAATAGCTGTTTGATTACTTAAAAACTATTAATTTGAAGCTTTCAAGACAAACAAGAAATACTTGAAAACTTGATGTTATGATAAAACAATAAGGTAATCTCATACCATTATAAAAGTCATAAACTAGAGCTCACTAATGCAAGGTCTCTGGCATGAGGGTTATTCATATTACACAATTGTGTTAAGACATTACTTGAATTTTTGAAGCCTCTGCTTTTAGCTTTCCTTGGACTTTAAAAACAGACATTCTTGGCTTGTTTACAAAGCTTTTAAAAAGACATTTCTTAATCCAGTAAAGGCAATTTCCACTTTGAGTTTTTTAAAATTAAGACTCTACTAAAGAAGACATATGGTGGGGGGCAAGGGTTGTGGCTCAGAAGTAGAGTGCTCACCTAGCATGTGTGAGGCCCTGGGTTCGATCCTCAGCACCACATAAAAATGAATAAATACATAAAATAAAGTTATTATGTCCATTTACAACTCAAGAAAAAATAAATATTTTTAAAAAGACATATGGTGTAAGCAATCTTATCAAAATATATCACTGAATCATTTAATATGATAATATAATGCTAGATCCTGAACACATTGGCTTATTAAGACATTCATGAATTAAAAAGAAATTACCTACAAGTCCCCTAAAATTGATCTGCCAAAAACTAACTAAAAAACACACTCCCAGGACTGGGGTTGTATCACAGAAGTAGAGTATTGCCTAGCATGTGTGAGGCACTGAACTCGATCATCAGAACCACATACAAATAAAAGTCCATCAATAACAAAAAATAATAATAAAAACTCCAAATACACTATCAAAATAAGTCTGATTTTGTAATCAAAAGCAATGATCAACTACCTTCTTCATGGTTAATAACTAATCACTAGTAATAGCTTTTAGGGCTAATATTTCTTTTCTGAAACAGATCTTTGGTTGTCTAGAACTCTTCTCAGTTCTTCTGAGTGCGAGATTCTATAGTGCCTCTCAGCCGCAATTAGTGATAATTTTTTGTGTGTGGACCTGATATATTGTCACTGAAAATACAGCCAGGTGCTGAGAACATTTTGATTTTGGTTAGGTGTTACATGAGCATAATACTGATAGGTGGATTACCACACGGGGTCTGGGTTTCCATTTATTTAAGCCTCAGATCTGACACACTGATGGGGTTTTGGATGGAGACTGTTTTACTGTTGAAAATAATAGGTATTCTAAGGAAGTGCAATGAGATGGAGGCCTCCAGGCACATTAGTCATTCCAAGGGGAAATCCATCCTTTGCACCCTGGCTTCTCAGTATCATCTCTGGCACACTTAAGTGACAGTACCTGCGAATTATCGCTCAGGCCAGGACACCGGGGATAGCCTGACCGCAGGAAGTATTCGTTTAGTATTAAAGGCTAACTAGGCTGAAGAACATGCTGGTCAGTACGTATCAGATGGGCTGAGGCCCACGGGAAGTAAAGCGGCTTTGGGCGGTCTTCCCAAGCTTAGCAAGGGCAGTGCCGACACCTACTACAAGCCACTCCCAGGACAGCACTTGCTGCGTGGCCACAGCTGCATCCCGCTCTGCTTAACATGCAAATTAGACCTTTCTCTACGGCCTCCGGGAACTGCTCTCTCCAGGGCGGGGATCTCTGCTCCTCTCCCGCGCCCCGAGGGCTTGAGGACCAGCAAGTATACCCAAGCAGCTTAGGGTAAAACGCGCGCTGGGGTCGGGACCGGCTTCTGCTCCACCTCGCCACCAGGCCCCCGGGTAAGATGGTTGTTTGACAGTTCGCAAGACCGGAAAAACTCAGGCGTCTGGACTCCCAGGTCTCTCCAGAGCCCTGGACAATCGTGAGCAGCCCTAGGGACTCTGCTTTCTTCGCGGATGCTTACCTGGTCTTGGCACAGACCTCCCTCCGAAAACGTTCAGGGTGAACTCGAAGCACCGCAGACCTGGGAGCGCGCAAGTGCGCACGCGCAGTACGCTCATAGCGGTGCATTCCCACTAACTGCGCATGCGAGAAGCTGAGACTTCTTTCCCGCGTGCAGCGTTAGGTTCACAGAGAGCCAATCAGAGGGGAGATCTTGACAGTAGCCCCACCCCCCCACACCCCTAACTTCGAACCTTCCCGTTTGGCTCGCGGGGAAGTGGGAGGCAGATGCGCGCACCGCGCTTAGCCGTCTCCGCCCCTTTCCGAGCAGCCAATCGCGGGAGAGACGCCGGACGCGCGCACGTCCCCTGGAGTTTAACGGTCGCGCGAGGCGTCTCGGCCGACCCTGACTTCGGCAGTGGGAGCGGCGGCCAGGTAAGTGACAGTCTGCCTGCAGAGAGCTGCTGGCCGCGGGGCATGGGGCACGAGATGTAGCGGACACCTGAGTGCGCAGATGGGCCAGGGTGAGGGGAGACAACTGTCAACGGAGCAGCCCGGCCAGAGCTCACTGGCGTGTGGGGTTCTTCAGCGCTGCGTGCGCCTTTTCTAGACTCGGTGCCCTTGAGTGACACCCGCGCGGCCCAATCGCAGAGCGGCCTTTCTGAGGGGCGGGGGGGGCGTTTTTATTACTAATTAATTAATTTTTTTTTAATTGACAAGGTGCCTGGGTGCCTGAGTCTCCGCGGTGGTTTCTGCCACCAGCGCTTTTCTGTCCTCTCTGGTTTGACGCGGTAGCCGCCTCCAGCAATAGGGGCTGTGGCCTCCGCCCGCAGCGAGTGCCGCGGCCGCCCTGCGGGGAGGACGCCCTGTCCACCTCCGGCTGCTGAGGGCCCCACCGGTGTTCCCTGTCCCCACCCCCGTTTTCTAGTGCGTGGGGGCGGAAGGGGCAGATTTTGTTGCTGGAAAAATATAAAAACGCCTCTGTTGCTATATTTATTCCCTATCAACTTTCCCTTTTTTAAAAACATTTTTCATCTTATGTCAGCCCCTCCCCCGTTTTGCTGACTTCACCCGCCCCGGGCCCCAACCGGAGAGGCCACCCAGAATTTCTGGTTTTCCGTCGGGTTCCACCGCATCTAGTGGCCTGGTGGCCTCAGCGGGGGAGGTAATAGATGGGATCCGGCCCCCTGGCGTGGCGCGGGGTGGCTGGGACTCGGGTGTGGAGCGGGCAGCCCCTGGCTTGTTCAATGCCCCATTTGTCATTGGTGCTGGGCCGAGCCACTGGGGAGGCCTGCATTTAGCTCGGTCCAGTTACCCTAGGCTTTCACACCTGTCCCCGAAGGAGATGCTTCCTTGATGAGCTGATAGCTTTTGGTGTAGTGTTTTTCTAAAACCTGGCCCTAGGAAGTGGGAGCCCTAGGTAATGGTCCTCGGTTGCACTCTTTTAAAGGCTTCTTACTGTGATCAGCACAGGGTTTTTTTGTTTTTTTTTTCCCCCCTTTTGTCTTTCTTTTCCCCTGGTTTCCTCTTTTTAAATGCCTGAATTCGCAAAGAAGGAGGCATATTGTAATAGTTTAGTTATAATTCAGTTAAAATTTAGTTGACCTGACAAATAGTTTATTTTTAAAGAAATGATACATGCACAGAGTACAAAAGACTAGATAGTGCAAAGTTTGCTTTCAGACAGTAGGGAAACAATTGTGTTAACAGTTTTCTCTTTTTAATAATAAGCAGTTAAGTTCTTCTAGTCACTGTATGAAACTAACAAGCATACTTGTTAGAATTTATTAAGTGAACAATGAATGTAAGCATTCCAATTGTTACATAATGGGATTGTATCTAGAAGCTTGATTATTAAATACAAAATTCTGAAAAAGATGCTGCTGTGTTCATAAATCATCCTTAATGTAGATTTTTAAATTGAGATCTATAATTCACATGCCATAAAATTTATCCTTTTCAAAGTGTAAGTTTCAGTGGTTTTTAATGTATTTACAAGGCTGTAGAACCATCACTAAATGCAAAACTTTTCATTACCCTCAAAAGAAACCCTGTACCTATTGCAGTCACTCTGATTCTTTCCTACCTGCGACTGCTAACAAATGTTAATCTACTCTCTGTCTCTGAATTTGCCAATTTAAGTATTTCAAATAATTGGAATCATACATTATGTGGTTTTTTTCGACTGACTTTTACTTAGCATTGTGTTTCATTCATGTTATAGCATGTACCAATACTTCATTCCTTTTTAAAGCTGAATCATACTCCATCATATGAATCCATGCCTCTGTTTATGGACTTTTGGGTTGTTTCTGTATTTTGGCCATTGTGAATATTGATGCTGTCTTTAATGTATATTTTATAAAAGAAGTGAAGATTTCCAAAGTCACAAAAGGACAGTTGCTAAGTTAGTGGCTTTTTGTACAAGTATTTTTCCCCCATTCATTTTCAGACTCTCAAGGAAGTTTAGGATATTTCACAGTTCTGAATGTTAGCAACTGAAAATGCTGGTAGACGATGAAGCATCTGAAGATGACCCGGATTCAGTTTCCTCAAACAGTGAAAGAGCCTATATTTTCAAATAAGAGAGTATAACAATTTCTGTACACTATGGAGGATTTTGACTTGGTGAAAACCTTACAAAAAGCTTCATCTGTAGAATCTGATATCAAAAATTCTCCCCATTCTCTTGGATTGAGCTTAAATACTAATAGGTAAGAATGGGATAGATATTTTGTAACAATAAACTAAAATAACTTTATTTGCATAGTTTATCAGTTTATCCAAATAGTGTTATAGTTGCTGATTTAAATGTGTTAAAAAAATCAGGAACTGTTCAGGAACAATTATTTAAGTTGAGAATAGTTTTAGTTTTTTTGTGTTTTTCATTTCTTCTAGAAAAATGTGTTTTTGCATGTGGAGCATTGTGAGAAAGAACTTATTTTGCTAATTGTTTCTTTATGCTTTTTAAAATTTTTAATTTTTTGCTTTGGTAAATAAGAATATTTAAAAATTTTTGTTGCCTAATTATTATTTCTGCATTTTAAATTAATGGTACAACTAATGTCTTGTATTGCAGAAATACCTCACCAATCTGGAAAGTAGAAATTAAAATTAAATATTAGGAACTAAGCAAAAAACAGACTCTGAGATAACAAAATAGTCAACAAAATGCATCTTATTTTTAAGCTATTCCATAGTTGATTTTTTGTTTTTGTTTTGTTGTGTTGGATGGAACCTGGGGCCTTGTGCATGCTAAGCAGACCCTCTATCACTACCTCTGAGTACATCCCAGCCTGGTGTGGGTTTTTTTTTTTTGGTGCTGAGATTGAACTCAGGGGCTCTTTTCCACATTTCCAGCCTGTTTAATTTTTTTATTTTGAGATAGGGTCTTACTAAATTGCTGAGGCTGGCCTTGAACTTGTCCTTGTGACTGGTAGTTAAATCTACATGATGAAACTAGATTATTAAAACTGTATAAATCCCTTATGAACAACATATCATGTTCTTCTTTCCCTTGAAATTTTAATACTCTACAGCTGTCCTAACTCTATTATTTTACTATTATTTTTCATTATTACCTCTTTCTCTTTCTCTTTTTTTTTAACAAATTCTTTGTGAAACAAAGCAGGGTATTAATAAAAATTAAAATGACCTTTCAGTGCCTAGATTTTAAACAAAATTCAGTATCCTGAATAATGATTTATGTGTTTATAAAACAAATCTGAATTAAACTGATTTGGAAAAAAATCAGTCTTCCTGGAAGGAATCACAATGAATAGGCTAAATGAGTCCTGAATATTTGCTTGGCATAAGCACCAGAACATCACACCAATGAGGGGATCCAGGTGACAAGACTTTTGGAAGTGGAGAGAGAGTCCCCACTACTCAGGGAAGTGCTATTCTCCAATTAGGCCGAGATAGTGCTCTGGAACATAGAGATCCGCACCTGGAGACTGCTTAGTACCACAGACTCATTTCCTGCTGATTCTTTGGAGTGTTTTCATTATGCCTGAGAGGTCTTTCTGTTGGGTTTTTTTTTTTTTTTTTTTTAAAGATTTCTAAGCACTGCCTGTCATTTTACTGATGTCTTCCTTTTGTGACCAGACTTATGATCAGATTTTCAACGATTGAGGTACCATTAGAAGGATTAAATATCAGTGGTTTTGTATTACTTTGCTAAATCTTGGACTGCTGAATTATTCAACACTTTGGTAGAATGAAGAAAACCATTTGAATTATTTATGTTTCAACAGAAGTAGTACAAATGGGGTATCCTCTTTCTCAGGGAAGACCAGACCCTCTGCCATTCAAGGTACAGCTGAGTTCCTAAACTCCTTAACGCAAGAGCTACAGAACAGTGGAAAGACTGATTCGGAACTTTGGAAAAACTGTGAGGTATCGTATCTTGTTTTGTTTTATTTTGATAATTTAAAAATAACCACATTTAAATGAACTTCTACTGAATTCTATTATGAATTTGTATTCAGAAGAGCACAATACTTATTGTGGAAGTAGTTAGGTATGTTTGTTGGAGAACAATATTGAATGTAAAAAAGGTGATCAAAAATATTTTTGGGCTGGGACTATAGCTCAGTTGGTAGAATGTTTGCCTTGCATGCACAAGGTCCTGGGTTCAATCCCCAGCATCATAAAAAAAAGTATTTTTGATGGGTCTCACAAAAATAGAAGGGGGACCAGTAGAGTAGAGGAAGGAGGTGGAGAGAGCGGGAAAGGGGGAGGCATGGGAAGTGAGTTCACCATGTTACACAGTGTCCACATAGGAAGACGCCATGGTGAACATGGCTTATAATTTTAATGCACTGATTAAAATAAAAATACTAGGGATGGAGATGTAGCTCAGTGATAGAGCACTTGCTTGGCATGAGTTCAATCCCCAGTACCTCAAAAATAAAGTCAATAAAAAAATAAAATAACAGCGATAATAATAATAGAAGGGAGATCAGTAGAGTTGAGCAAGTGGATTAAGGGAGGGAGGAGGGAGGGAAAGAGAAGAGAAAAAAAGTATTTTTTAACAATATATTAGTGATGAAACATTTGTATATTAAATGTGAACTAAAATATCTTTGTTCAGAGAACCGAGAACCCCCATAATAATAATTAAAAATTACCGTTAAAATTATTATTAAAATAATTAATAATTAAAATTATTGGTCTTAATATTTTAAGTAATTTATATGGAATTATCCTCATTTTGGAAAATCTAAATCCACTTTGAAGTATTTTGGCTGTTGTGCTTACGAGTTAAAGCTTCTAGTTAGTACTTTACAACAGGTACCTATTGTACCTTGCATTATATTGTTTTAGGTCAGCCTTTCTTCAAATCACAGATAATTATTATTTTTAAAAATATTTTTAGTTGTAGATGGTCACAATACCTTTATTGTTTATTTTTTTATTTTTATTTTTGTTCCCATTTATTTATTTATCGTTTGTTTTAAAAGAATTTTTTTTTTTAAAGAGAGAGAGAATTTTTTAAATATTTATTTTTAGTTTTTGGCGGGCACAACATCTTTGTATGTGGTGCTGAGGATGGAACCTGGGCCGTACGCATGCCACGCGAGCGTGCTACCGCTTGAGCCACATCCCCAGCCCTTAAAAGAATTTTTGATGGACTTTATTTTGCATATTAATTTATTTATAT